ATCTGGGGGAGAAATGGGGAAAAAATGGGAAAAAATCGCATTAAAATGAGAAAAAATGGGATTAAAATGGGGTGAAATGGTGAAAAAATGGGATTAAAATGGGGTGAAATGGTGAAAAAATGGGATTAAAATGAGAAAAAATGGGATTAAAATGGGGTGAAATGGGCAGGTACTCGCGGCGGGAGCGCTTGCGCAGCTCGGGGATCTGGGGGAAAACGGGGAAAAAATGGGGAAAAATGGCATTAAAATGGGAAAAAATGGTGAAAAAATGGGAAAAACTGGCATTCAAATGGGGTGAAATGGGCGGGTGCTCTGGGATTTGGGGAAATAGGGAAAATGTGGAGGAAAGGGGAACTGGGCATTTGGGGGTTCCTCCCCTCCTGTCTCTCACCAGGGCTCTCTGCTCCTCCTCTGCCATTTTCAGGCGTTTCTGGGCCTCCTCGTAGGCCTGGGCAGGCAAAGGGGGTGAGGGCCCCCATCCCACTGAGAATCCCCCAAACCCCCCCGAGCCCACCTTGGGGACCCCCTGAGCACCCCCAGACCCCTAGGACCCCCCAAAAGCCCCCCAGGCCCACCTTGGACTCACCCCGGGCCCCCCCAGCCCCTTCAAACGCCCCTCAAACCCCCCCAGGACCCCCAAACCCCCCTGGGACCCCCCCAGGCCCCACCTTGGGGTCCCCTGAGCCCCTCCAGCCCCCTCAAACCCCCCTGAGACCCCCCCCAAATCACCCCTGGACCCCCCCAAACTCCCCCCAAACCCCCCTGGGACCCCCCCAAGCCCCACCTTGGGGTCCCCCCATCCCCTCCCAGCTCCCCAAACCCTCCTGTGACCCCCCCCATAACCCCCCTCAAACCCCCCCAAATCCCACCTGGGAGTCCCCCTGTGCCCCCCAAACCCCTCCAAACCCCCCTGAGACCCCATCTTGGAGTCTCCCCGTGCCCCCAGGACCCCCATAGCCCCACCAAGCCGCACCTTGGGGTCCCCCCTTGCCCCCCAAATCCCCCTCAAACCCCCCCCCAGCCCCACCTTGGGGTCCCTCCGTGTCCTCCCAGACCCCCCCAAACCCCCCTGGGAGCCCCCCAAATCTCCCCCAAATCCTCCCCAGGACCCCCCAAACCCCCCATAGCCCCACCCAAGCCCCACCTTGGGGTCTCCCCAGCCTCCCAGACCCCCCCAGGAACCCCCCAAACCCCCCTCAAATCCTCCCAGTCCCCACCTTGGGGTCCCCCCGTGCCCCCCAAACCCCCCCAAGGACCCTCCAAACCCCCCCCAAACCCCTCTGGGACCCCCCAGACTCCCCCCAAACCCCCCCCATAGCCCCCTCATAACCCCCCTGGGACCCCCCCAAACCCCCCCATAGCCCCCTAGGCCCCACCTTGGGGTCCCCCCCATTCCCCCTAAATCCCCCTCAAACCCCCCAGGCCCCACCTTGGGGTCCCCCCAGCCCCCCAAACCCCCCCAGGCCCCACCTTGGGGTCCCCCCGAGCGCCCCAAACCCCCTCCAGCCCCACCTTGGGGTCCCCCCAGCCCCCCAAACGCCCCCAGGCCCCACCTTGGGGTCCCCCCGAGCGCCCCTGTCCCTGTCCCGGTCCCGGTCCCGCCGCCGCAGGCGCTCGGCGAAGGCGTCGCGCTCGCGCAGGTCCCGCAGCCGCTCCCGCTCCGACGCCTCCCACTCCTCCTCCGGCTCCTCGGGGGCCCTTGGAGAGGGCCGGGAATGGGTGGGGGGACCCCAAAAACACCCCCGGGGAGAGGGGAGGGGGAGATGGGAGCAGGGAGAGCCCAGCCAGGAGGCAAAGAAGGGTGAAAATCCCACCCCAAAATCAACTCGGGAACGCCAAAAATCCCAACTCGGGACATCCAAAATTCCATCTGGGAACCCCAAAAATCAATTTGGGAGACACAAAATCTCATCTGGGAACCCCAAAAATCCCAACTCGGGAACCCCAAAATCTCATCTGGGAACCCCAAAAATCAACTTGGGAGACCCAAAATCCCAACTGGGAATCCCAAAAATCAACTTGAGAGACCCAAAATCCACTCAGGAACCCCAAAATCCCAACTGGGAACTCAAAATCCCCACCTGGGAACCCCAAAAATCAACTTGAGAGATCCAAAATCCCCTCAGGAACCCCAAATTCCATCTGGGAACCCAAAAATCCAACTTGGGACACCCAAAAATCCAACTTGGGACACCCAAAATTCCATGTGGGAACCCCAAAAATCCAACTCAGGACACCCAAAATCCCACCTGGGGCACCCAAATCCCATCTGGGACCCCCAAAAAACCACTTGAGAGACCCAAAACCCCACCTGGGTTCCCCAAAATCTCAACTGAGACCCCCAAAATCCCCCCATGAGCACAAAAAAAGGCGAAATTTGTGGGATTTGAGGGGTTTTTTTAGGGGGGTTCTGAGAGGGGAAATCCCAAAATTGCAGCACCCAAAGGATCGGGGGGAGCCCCAAGGGGAAGGGAAGCCCCCCAGAATTGGGGTGACCCCAAAATGTGGGGATTTCACCCCAAAATCCCCCCCTGCACTCACGGTGGGGGCTCGGGCGCGGCCGGGGGGGTCTCGGGGGGGGACTCGGAGCGGTGACGTCGCCTCAGGTGTCGCCGCCGGGGGCGTGGCTCGTTCTGGGCGTGGTCTGGGTGGGCGGGGCCCGGCCCCGCCTCCTCCTCGTCGCTCTCCACCAATCGGTAGCCACGGTTCTGGCGCTGCAGCTCCAGCGCCGCCCGCTCGGCCGCGCGGCCGGGGGGCTCCCGGGGGGCTTCACGGGGCACCTGCGGGTGGGCGGGGTCAGGACACGCCCACGGACACGCCCACTGAACCACACCCAATATGGCCACACCCGCTTGACCACACCCAGAAATGTCCACGCCCATTTGCAAGCCAGAGCTCAGCCTGATTGGCTGCTCTGTGCGGCAGCCACGCCCACTGGTCGTGATGTCATCCTCAAAGTTGGTTAAACCACGCCCCCTTCTGCCTTAGGCTTCTCCCATTCTCCATTGGCCACGCCCTCAGCACTAAATAGGCCGTGTTCAAACCACGCCCACTCCCTTAGGCCACGCCTCCATCTCAATACAAAACCGCCTCCCCTCAGACAAGCCCCGCCCACTCCCATTCTCGCGCCTCCCCGAGAAGCCCCGCCCCCTTCCCCCTCTCCCCTCACGGGTTCCTGCCCACCTTGTCCCACAGCTGCCGCGCGAACTCGCGCACGCGCGGCTCCTCCACGCGCAGGGCCTCGGTCTCGCGCAGCCGCTCCAGCAGCTCCTCCAGGCTCCGGCTGCGCCGCGCCAGCGCCACCAGGAAGGCGGGGACATGGCGGGCGCTGAGGCCCAGCAGCTCCTGCAGCTGCCCGGACACCCAGCGCTCCAGGGCCGCCGTGGCCGCCATGGCCGCTGCTGCGTCTTCCTCCTCCTTCTCCTCCTCCCTCACGGAGCTGTCCAATCAGCGCACAGCGCGGGAAAGACTCGGCCAATCAGCGCACGGGTAGCCCGCGGCGGGCGGGTTCGGCCAATCAGGGCGAGGCCGCGCCCACTAGCGGCGTTACCGTAATATCGCGAGAGCGATGGCGGCTTTACCGTAACTCCGCGGTGAGAAGCACAACCTAAATTCGGCATTTGGGATATTGGGACCGAAATTCCGATTTTTATCCCCAAAATCCTCAGTTTTATCCCCAAATTCCCCATTTTCACCCCCAGAATCCATCAATCCCGTCTCTGCCCCGGGAATTCGTCGCTATTTTCCCTAAATCCGTGTTTTTCCCCTCAGAAATCCCCGCCTCCTCCAACTCCAAAATTCCCAAAAATCCCCAAAATTTTCTCCCCAAAATCCGGGATTTTCCCACCAAATCCCCCAAAATTTCCAGGATCTACTTTTCCCTCAGGCTCTCAAAACTTCGCTTTTTTGGCTCAAAAAGTTTTTACTACAAAAAACCTTCGCAAAAAAACAGCGTTTGTACAAAAAAATGACATTTCCCCCTACAAGTCCTGGATTTCTGTAGGAACGAGGCGCCAGAACCCCAAATTTTGGGGCGCCCGCAACCCCAAAGATCCCAAACCCAAAGTTTTAGATTTGCAGGGACATTTTGGGGCAACAGGACCCCAAATTCGGCGATTTTGGGGTTTTTTTGACCCCAAATTCTGCGATTTTGAGGATTTGAGGATCCCAAACTCAGTGATTTTGGGTATTTTGGGGTTTTTGGGGTCAGCCGTTGTGTTTCTGCCTCTTCCAGAAGCGTTTGACATCGAGGTGCCCCAGTAACCCCAAATTTGGTGATTTTGGACCCCAAATTTCGTGATTTCGGGGTTTTTTGGACCCCAAACTCCGGGATTTTGGGGTTTTTGGGGTCAGCCGTTGTGTTTCTGCCTCTTCCAGAAGCGTTTGATATCGAGGTGCCCCAGTAACCCCAAATTTGGTGATTTTGGACCCCAAACTCGGTGATTTTGAGGATTTTGGGGTTTTCAGGGATCCCAAACTCCGGGATTTTGGGGATTTTGGGGTTTTTGGGGTCAGCCGTTGTGTTTCTGCCTCTTCCAGAAGCGTTTGACATCGAGGTGCCCCAGTAACCCCAAATTCGGTATTTTTTGACCCCAAACTCGGGGATTTTGATGATTTGGGGATTTTTGAGGATCCCAAACTCCGGGATTTTGGGTATTTTGGGGTTTTTGGGGTCAGCCGCTGTGTTTCTGCCTCTTCCAGAAGCGTTTGACATCGAGGTGCCCCAGTAACCCCAAATTTGGTGATTTTGGACCCCAAATTTCGTGATTTCGGGGTTTTTTGGACCCCAAACTCCGCGATTTTGAGGATTTGGGGGTTTTCAGGGATCCCAAACTCCGGGATTTTGGGTATTCTGGGGTTTTTGGGGTCAGCCGTTGTGTTTCTGCCTCTTCCAGAAGCGTTTGACGTCGGGGTGGCCGGCGGGGGTGACGACCATCAGGGTGGCCCAGTAACCCCAAATTTTGGGATTTTGGGGTTTTTTGGACCCCAAACTCCGGGATTTTGGTGATTTTGGGGTTTTTGGGGTCAGCCGTTGTGTTTCTGCCTCTTCCAGAAGCGTTTGACGTCGGGGTGGCCGGCGGGGGTGACGACCATCAGGCGCCGCGCGGGGTTCTCGAACACCAGCACGCCCAGGGCCCGGGCGTGGTCCCGCAGCACCTCGAAATCCACCTGGGACAGGAACTGGTTGTACAGCACACCTGGGGGGGGACAGAGGGAGGGGACAGTGCCAGCGGGGCGTGGCAGCCCTTTGGGGACACCTCCCGCCTCGGGGACATCGCCAGGGGTGGCGCTTTCCTTTGGGGACATGGCCTGGGTGGCACCTCCCACCTTGGGGTGGCACCTCCCACTTTGGGGACATCCCCAGGGTGGCACCTCCCACCTTGTGGTGGCACCTCCCACTTTGGGGACACGGCCTGGGTGGCACCTCCCACCTTGGGGTGGCACCTCCCACTTTGGGGACACAGCCTGGGTGGCACCTCCCACTTTGGGGACATCCCCTGGGTGGCACCTCCCACCTTGTGGTGGCACCTCCCACTTTGGGGACATCCCCAGGGTGGCACCTCCCACCTTGTGGTGGCACCTCCCGCCTTGGGGACACGGCCTGGGTGGCACCTCCCACCTTGTGGTGGCACCTCCCACTTTGGGGACATCCCCAGGGTGGCACCTCCCACTTTGGGGACATCCCCAGGGTGGCACCTCCCACTTTGGGGTGGCACCTCCCACTTTGGGGACACAGCCTGGGTGGCACCTCCCACTTTGGGGACATCCCCAGGGTGGCACCTCCCGCCTTGTGGTGGCACCTCCCATTTTGGGGACACGGCCTGGGTGGCACCTCCCACCTTGGGGACATCGCCAGGGGTGGCGCTTTCCTTTGGGGACACGGCCTGGGTGGCACCTCCCACCTTGTGGTGGCACCTCCCACTTTGGGGACATCCCCAGGGTGGCACCTCCCACCTTGTGGTGGCACCTCCCACTTTGGGGACATGGCCTGGGTGGCACCTCCCACCTTGTGGTGGCACCTCCCACTTTGGGGACATCCCCTGGGTGGCACCTCCCACTTTGGGGACACTTTCAGAACCCTCCAGGGACACTTTGGGGACACCTTGGTGGCACTTTGGGGACACCTTGGGGTCACTTGGGGGACACTTTGGGGACACCTTGGTGACATTTTGGGGACACCTTGGGGTCACTTGGGGGGCACTTTGGGGGCACCCCGGGGACACCCTGGTGGCACCCTGGGGACACTTTGGGGGCACACTGGTGACACCCTGGTGATATTTGGGGACACTTTGGTGACACCTTGGTGACACTTTGGGGGCACCCTGAGGGATACCCTGGTGACACTTTCGGGACACTTTGGTGACACTCTGGTGACACCTTAGGGTTACCCTGGTGACACCTCGGGGACACTTTAGGGTTACCCTGGTGGCACTTTGGGGACACTTTGGGGACACTTTGGGGACACTTTGGGGACACCCTGGTGACACTTTGGGGACACTTTGGGGACACTTTGGGGACACTGACCCTCCGAGAAGCGCAGCCGGTCCCGCTCGAGCTCCCAGAGCCGGATCTGGTCCGTGATGGTCGGGGGCAGCACCGGGCTCTGGGGACAGGGACAGGGACGGTGACACGGGGACAGGGACAGGGACAGGGGGACAGGGACAGGGACAGGGATGGGGACACACAGGGGACAGTGGGGTACCCCAGGAATGGGACCCCCAAAAGATTTTTGACACCCCCATAAAGGATTTGGGATCCCCAGAATGGATCTGGGGTCCCCCAAAAGAATTTGGGACCCCCAAAATGGATCTGGGATCCCTCAAAAGAATTTGGGACCCCCCCATAAAGGATTTGGGACCTCCCATAAAGGATTTGGGACCCCCCCAGAATGGATTTGGGACCCCCCAAAAGAATTTGGGACCCCCAGAATGGATTTGGAACCCCCAAAATGGATCTGGGACCCCCCAAATTCAGGCCCCCTGAAGGATTTCGGATACCCAAAGGATTTGGGACCTCCCATAAAGGATTTGGGACCCCCCCATAAAGGATTTGGGACCCCCCCATAAAGGATTTGGGACCCCCAAAATGGATCTGGGATCCCCCAAAAGAATTTGGGACCCCCCATAAAGGATTTGGGACCCCCAGAATGGATCTGGGACCCCCAAAATGGATCTGGGACCCCCAAAATGGATCTGGGACCCCCCAGAATGGATTTGGGACCCTCCAAAAGAATTTGGGACCCCCCATAAAGGATTTGGGACCCCCCAAAAGAATTTGGGACCCCCAGAATGGATCTGGGCCCCCCTTTGGGGTCCCCTCACCTGTTTTGGCCATCACGGGGTGGGCGCGGGTGCGCAGGAAGTGAATGATCTGCGGGGGAGGGACAGCACCCGTGTCACCAATGTCACCAATGTCCCCAAATCCCTGGTGTCCCCAGTTGTCCCCAACATCACCAGTGTCACCAGAGTCACCAATGTCCCCAAATCCCAGTGTCCCCAATGTCACCAGTGTCACCATGTCCCCGGTGACACCAACATCACCTGTGTCACCAGAGTCACCAATGTCCCCATGTCCCCGTGTCCCCAACATCACCTGTGTCACCAGAGTCCCCAAATCCCTGTGTCCCCAAAGTCCCCAGTGTCCCCAATGTCCCCTTAATGTCCCAAATGTCCCCAATCCCCACAACGTCCCCAACGTCCCCAATGTCCCCAGTGTCCCCAATGTCCCCAATCCCCCCAGTGTCCCCAGTGTCCCCCCCATGTTCCCAGTGTCCCCTGTGTCCCCAATGTCCCCAATCCCCCATTGTCCCCAATGTCCCCAGTGTCCCCAATCCCCCCAATGTCCCCAATGTCCCCAGTGTCACCTGCTCGGCGGTGATGCCATTGGCGATGGCCGCCTGCACGCTGTCCCCAATGTCCCCAATGTCCCCAATCCCCCCATTGTCCCCAATGTCCCCAGTGTCCCCAATGTCCCCATTGGTGTCCCCAGTGTCACCTGCTCGGCGGTGATGCCCGTTGGCGATGGCCGCCTGCACGCTGTCCCCAGTGTCCCCAATCCCCCCAATGGTGTCCCCAATGTCCCCAATCCCCCCAATGTCCCCATTGTCACCTGCTCGGCGGTGATGCCGTTGGCGATGGCCGCCTGCACGCTGTCCCCAATGTCCCCAATGTCCCCAATCCCCCCAATGGTGTCCCCAATGTCCCCATTGTCACCTGCTCAGCGGTGATGCCGTTGGCGATGGCCGCCTGCACGCTGTCCCCAATGTCCCCAGTGTCCCCAATCCCCCCAATCCCCCCATTGTCCCCAATGTCCCCCAGTGTCACCTGCTCGGGACCGTGATGCCGTTGGCGATGGCCGCCTGCACGCTGTCCCTTGTCACCTGGGCCACCACCAGGTTGGGGAAGCGATAGAGGAGCTCCGAGAAGAGCGCGATGAGGGCGACCTGCAGCTCCGAGTCTGGGGACAGCGCGGGGACATTGAGGGGACAATGGGGACAATGGGGACATTGGGGACACTGGGGACATTGAGGGGACATCGGGGACATTGGGGGATTGGGGACAATGAGGGGATTGGGGACATTTGGGGGGGTTGGAGATATTGGGGACATTGGGGACATTGAGGGGACATTGACGGGACATTGAGGGGACATCGGGGACACCGGGGACAATGGGGGCATTGAGGGGACATCGGGGACATTGGGGGGGATTAGGGACAATGGGGGATTGGGGACATTTTGGGGGGGTTGGAGATATCGGGGACATTGGAGTCATTGGGGACATTGGGGACATTGAGGGGACATTGAGGGGATTGGGGACAATGAGGGGGCATTGGGGACAATGGGGGGATTGGGGGGATTGGAGACATTGGGGACAATGAGGGGATTGGGGACATTTGGGGGGGTTGGAGATATTGGGGACATTGGAGCCATTGGGGACATTGAGGGGACATTGGGGACATCGAGGACAGTGGGGGCATTGGGAAAATTGGAGGAATTGGGGGACATTGAGGGGACATGGAGGGGATTGGGGACATTGAGGGGACATTAAGGGGACAATGGGGGCATTGGGGACAATGGGGACATTTGGGGAGATTGGGGACATTGAGAGGACATTGAGGGGGACATTGGGGGCATTGAGGGTTGGGGACATTGAGACACAGGGAGGACCAAGGGTGACAGGGAGGTGACAGGGCTGTCCCCAAGGTGTCCCCAAGGTGTCCTGGGTTATTCCCAGCTGTCCCTCAGGGTGTCAGGGCTGTCCCCAAGGTGTCCCCCAGGTGTCCCCAGTGTCCCCAGTGCCACCTGTGTAGGCGTAGATGCGGTAGTTGGTCTCCACCAGGATGAAGCCGTGGCCGTCGGGCTCTGTCCCCAGCGCCGTCCCTGCTGTCCCCCGGGGATGTCCCCAGCGCTGTCCCCAGCGATGTCCCCAGCGATGTCCCCGCTGTCCCCGAGGCCAGCGCGATGGCCAGCCGGGTCGGGTAGAAGCGCCGCGACTTCCGCTGGGGACAGCGTGACCACAGTGTCCCCAAGTGTCCCCAGGAACTGTCCCCAATGGGGCAGGAGCTGTCCCCAGTGTCCCCAGGTGTCCCCAGGAACTGTCCCCAAGTGTCCCCAGGAACTGTCCCCAGTGTCCCCAACTGTCCCCAATGGGGCAGGAGCTGTCCCCAGTGTCCCCAAATGTCCCCAAGTGGGACAGGTGCTGTCCTTGAGTGTCCCTGAGTGTCCCCAGGAGCTGTCCCCAAGTGTCCCCAACTGTCCCCAAGGGGGCAGGAGCAGTCCCCGAGTGTCCCCAAGTGTCCCCAATTGTCCCCAAGGGGCCAGGAGGTGTCCTTGAGTGTCCCTGAGTGTCCCCAGGAGCTGTTCCTGAGTGTCCCCAAGTGTCTCCAAGGGGCTAAGAGCTGTCCCCAGTGTCCCCAAATGTCCCCAAGTGGGACAGGAGCTGTCCTTGAGTGTCCCTGAGTGTCCCCAGGAGCTGTCCCTGAGTGTCGCCAAGTGTCCCAAGTGTCCCCAACGGGACAGGAGCTGTCCTTGAGTGTCCCCGAGTGTCCCCAGGAATTGTCCCCAGTGTCCCCAGTGTCCCCAAGGTGCCAGCAGCTGTCCCCAGCTGTCCCCAGGTGTGACATGAGCTGTCCCTGAGTGTCCCCAAATGTCCCCAGGTGTCCCCAATGAGGCAGGAGCTGTCCCCAGTGTCCCTGAGTGTGCCCAGGTCAGTCCTGGCACCTCCCAGTCCCCAGTGTCCCCAGTGTCCCCTCCCAGTCCTGGCACCTCCCAGTCCCCAGTGTCCCCAATGTCCCCTCCCAGTCCCTCCCAGTGTCCCCAAATGTCCCTCCCAGTGTCCCCAATGTCCCCAGTGTGCCCAGTGTCCCCAATGTCCCTCCCAGTGTCCCCAGTGTCCCCTCCCAGTGTCCCCTCAATGCCCTCCCAGTCCCTCCCAGTATCCCCAGTGTCCCCAGTCCCTCCCAGTACCCCCCAGTGTCCCCAGTGTCCCCTCCCAGTGTCCCCAGTGTCCCCAGTGTCCCCTCCCAGTGTCCCCATGTGCCCTCCCAGTGCTCCCAGTGCTCCCAGTTCACCTTCCTCTGGAACACCAGCCCGAACTCGCGCAGGTGCTGCAGGAAGGTCAGCAGGGACTCGCTCATGCCCTCCACCGAGTAATCCTGCACCAGTCGGGACCAGTTTGCACCAGTTGGGACCAGTTGGGACCAGTTGGGACCAGTTCACACCAGTTGGGACCAGTTGGGACCAGTGAGTTCCCAGTTCGCTCCCAGTTCATCCCAGTTCAGCCCAGTAACATCCAGGACGCTCTCAGTGCTCCAGGAACAGTCCTGGGACGCTCCCAGTTCAGCCCAGTAACCTCCCAGTTCAAACCAGTTCATTCCAGTGCCTCCCCCCCAATCCCCTCCCAGTTCATCCCAGTCCCTCCCAGTGCCCCCCAGTCCATCCCAGTTCCCCTCAATCCCCTCCCAGTTCATCCCAATCCCCTCCCAGTCCCTCCCAGTTATTCCAAATCCCCTCCCAGTCCCTCCAAATCCCATCCCAGTTCATCCCAGTCCCTCCCAGTCCCTCCCAGTTCCCGTCAATCCCCTCCCAGTTCATTCAGTCCCTCCCAATTCATCCAGTTCATCCAAATCTCTTCTCAGTCCCTCCCAGTCCCTCCCAGTTCATCCCAATCCCCTCCCAGTCCCTCCCAGTTCCCGTCAATCCCCTCCCAGTTCATTCCAGTCCCCTCTCAATTCATCCCAGTCCCTCCCAGTTACTCCAAATCCCCTCCCAGTCCATCCCAGTCCCTCCCAGTTCATTCCAGTCCCTCCCAGTTCCTCCCAATGCTCTCCCAGTTACTCCAAATCCCCTCCCAGTCCCTCCCAGTTCCCCTCAATCCCCTCCCAGTCCATCCCAGTTCCCCTCAATCCCCTCCCAGTTCATTCCAGTCCCCTCTCAATTCATCCCAGTCCCTTCCAGTTACTCCAAATCCCCTCCCAGTCCTTCCCAGTTCCCCTCAATCCCTTCCCAGTTCATTCCAGTCCCTCCCAATTCATTCCAGTCCCCCCCAATCCCCTCCCACTTCCCTCCCAATCCCTCCCAGTTCATTCCAGTCCTCTCTCAATTCATCCCAGTCCCTCCCAATCCCCTCCCAGTCCTTCCCAGTTCCCCTCAATCCCCTCCAGTCCATCCAGTTCCGCTCAATCCCTTCCCAGTTCATTCCAGTCCCTCCCAGTCCCTCCCAATCCCTCCCAGTCCCTCCCAATTCATTCCAGTTCCCTCCCAGTCCCTCCTAGTTCCCTCCCAATCCCCTCCCAGTCCCCCCCAATCCCCTCCCAGTCCCCTCCCAGTCCCTCCCAATTCATTCCAGTCCCTCCCAGTCCCTCCCAATCCCCTCCCAGTTCATCCCAGTCCCCCCCAATCCCCTCCCAATCCCCTCCCAGTTCCCTCCAGTCCCTCCCAGTCCCTCCCAGTTCCCTCCCAGTTCATCCCAGCCCATCCCAGTCCCCCCCAGTCCCTCCCAGCCCATCCCAGTTCCCTCCCAATCCCTCCCACCCCATCCCAGTCCCTCCCAGCCCCTCCCAGTCCCTCCCAGTCCCACCTTGCCCAGGGGGAGAAGCTCAGCTGGAACAGGAAGGACAAAATCTCCACCAGGTCCATGCCCCGTGCCTGGGGAGGGCACAGGGGGGGTTTGGGGGGGTCCCGGGGCTTTTGGGGACCCCCCCCCCAAATTTTGGGATTTTTGGGACCTCCCCGAAATTTTGGGAAATTCCCCGGATTTGGGGAAAAACCTCGAATTTGTGGGAAAAAACCCCCCCCCCCCACCCCAAATTTT